TGTTGGTCGTTCAGGTAGTCCACCGTCTGTGTCCCACTATCGAAGTACTAAGGGACGTAAGCACCATGACGTAGAATTAATAGTTACCTCATGTAACCTTAAGTTCTACGAAAGGTAGCGTAGTCCCTTTGCTACGAGCCCATCAGGCCCAGCCCGGCTTGGCAGAGTTCAAGAGGGGGGGTGGCGGCGTGTGCAGGGCGGTCCATTATAGAGGAGTGTGGCGGGTGATTGGAGCAAATTATTTGATCTCTCTGCGTGGGGACCTTGGGGGTTCACGAGCCGATACCCACTAGCGAAGTCCTAAAGGGGACCTACGCACCGATTCGTACGAACTTTAAGTTACATAGGTAACTATTAAAATAACTTGCATTTGCTAAAATGAATCATAGCGGGGGGGGGGGGGGGGGGGGGGGGGGGGGGGGGGGGGGGGGGGGGGAGGGGTGGTACCATATATTGAGCTTTGCCTGTCGCTTCACGACAAATAGTCTGATACAGGACCGCATTACCAACACATGCTGCACAAATCCGCTGATATCTCACATCATCCTCCTTTCCTTCCCTCACTGAAACAAGACCTAAGAGACTGAAACTCCTCCAGCTTGAGGAAGGACACCTCAGAATCACAAATCAACACGTAACCAACACGCAACCACGAACAGGTTCCTCTTTTTTTAACCACACACAAAGAATATTGAAATTCACATTCTGTACGCTTTTGGCAGCTGCATCAACTACGTCATGGTTCTTCAAACTTTTTACACCATGTACCACCTCAGAAAATACTTTCCTCTCTCAAGTACCACCAAAAAAGACCACACTATACGTTTGCGTAGTAAAGCCTAAGTATTCAACTAGAACAAGGAGAGGTTCATTCCTAAAGAAGAATATTAAAATATTGTGAGCCATTGTAACATTTTACTCATTTTCAACGTACAACTGTGGCTTAAATATAGGAGTAAGAAAAAACTAAAAACTGTACTTAAATAATGAATCAATTTAAATTTTCAATTCATTACACAACTGTAAAAGCTTGACTCATCCACTGTGAATTAAACCTCGAGTGGGAGGGCCTTCTTGCTTTGTCCACCATAGGGTTTTGGACACAGGTGCACTTTTGTTATTAGGCTGTGGGTCTGTGGCCTCTACAGACATCGCCATTTACTCACACAAAGCGATTTGGGTTCATGTATGGTGTGCGATCAAATTGATCTTTTGTTTTCCTCTGTGCCCTTTGCCCGCACAGACTGGTGAAAAATAACTTTTGTGGATTGTTCCGACCCGTCTCTAGGCCGTAACATAAACAGAATGGGAAGAGACAACGGCCAAGTGTTCCGCAACCCTCGTATCATTTATTGCAAACTACTATCAGAATCATTTTTTATTGCCAACGTAAGTAACGGGAAGGTCACAGACTTGGAAATTGCTTTCGGCTCAGTGCAACAGTCAGAAAAGAGATGAAAAAACTATAAGAATAAAAAAACACTTCTAAGAGAATAAAATTTTAAATTGAAAATAGAGTTACAGTTACTATTTACAATATACAAGTGCACATGGTGCACACAATGTAAGGTGACAGCATACAGTGAAGTAAAGTGACGTATGATGGGCAGTAAAGTGACTTTATATAAAGGCGGGGGACAGGTTAAGAAGTGTTCAAGAGTCCAACAGCAGAGGGAAGAAACTGTTCTTGTGGCGGGAGGTTCTAGTCCTGATGGACGCAGCCTCCTGCCTGAGGGGAGTGGTTGGAATAGTCCATGTGCAGGGTGAGAGGGGTCGCTGTGATACGACCACCCGGCCTCGAGCTCAGGCGACGTACAGGTCCTGCAGCGATGGAAGGCGTGCGGCCGATCACTTCCTCTGCATAGCGCACAATGCGCTGTAGTCTCTGTTTGGTCCCTGACTGTGGCTCCAGCGAACCACACGGTGATGGAGAGGGTGAGGATGGACTCGATGATGGCCCGTGAAGAACTGCACCAACATCTGTGCAGGCATCTTGGCTTTCCTGAGCTGCCGCAGGAAGTACATCCTCTGCTGGGCCTTCTTGATGAGGAGCTGATTGTCGCTCCCACTTGAGGTCCTGGGTGATGGTGGTGCCCAGGAAACGGAAGGCACTCCACAGAGTGTGATGGGGGAGTCCATCACGGAGGGTGGGGGCGGGGGGACAGTGCTCTTCCTGAAGTCCACAATCATCTCCACTGTCTTCTGGGCGTTCAGCTCCAGGTTGTTACCACTGCACCAGGAACACACCAGCCGGGTCCCACCTCCTCCTGTCAGGCGGATCATCGTTGTGTGTAGATGATCCAATGAGGGGGGTGTCGTCCGCGAACTTGATCAGCTTCACGGAGTCGTGGCTGGAGGTGCAGTGGTTGGTGTACAGGAAAAGAGCAGGGAGAAAGAACACAGCCCTGTGGGCTTCCTGTATTTATAATCCGAGAGTCCGAGACATTCTATCCCCAGTACGCACCTCGCTGCTCCTGCTCCTCAGGAAGTCAGTGATCCAACCTGCAGTGTGAAAAACGGGCACTTTGAGCTGGGATAGTCTTGTTCCTGGGAAGCAGGGATGGCAGGATCGTGTTGAAGGCAGAGCTTAAGATCCACGAACCGGGACCCTGGCGTTAGGTCCACCGGGAGTCCAGGTGGCTGTAGGATGTGGTGGAGGGCCAGTTAATGGCGTCGTCTACAGATCTGTTGGCTCTGTAGGCTAACAGCCGGGGTCCAGGAGGGGGGAGGTGAGGGACTTTGAGATGGGAGACGGACCATGCGTTCACATGACTTCATGACGACAGACGTAAGTGCTACAGGTTTTTGTACTGTAGTCATTGAGTCCTTGTGGATCTGGGCTTCTTCGGACGGGGGCAATGATGGATAGGAATTTGAACAGGCCGGGACATGGCAGGACTGCAGAGAGGAGTTAAAAGTGTCAGTGAACACAGGAGGTACTCACTCGACGCAGTGTCGCAGATTGCTGGAGACACTTTGGGTCCGGCCAGGGAGCTTGCGGGGTGCAGCCTCAAGAAGAGTTGTTTAATTATCTCGTGCCCGGGGACTTGCTGCTTCAGTTCGTCCTGAACTGATATTTAGCTGCTTTGTAGCCGCTGCGGTCCCCCTCCCTGAAAGCCGACAAGACATGGCACCATCCACCTTACAGGGCACCTAGCCCGACCTATACGTCCCAGGGACAATAGGCTCTCCACCGTGCTGTCCCGGTGTGGCTTAGCACGGTGGGTGTGAGGATCCTTCCGCTGCCCAGTGTATTCCCTGCATGCTGGACACGCCACCTTGCTAAGTGATAGGCAAGGAGGAAGAAGGAAGAACGGCCCTAACCGCAATGATTATGCGTATAAAAATTAAAATAATCATACGATTTAACTGAACGTTGAAACTGACATTGAAAATGTTCCAAAAAGTTGACACTACACAACTGTGTCCTCGTCCAGCGCTTCGGCATCAAGATCAAATAGAATTGTTCAGTGTAAATTAGTTTCAAGAACCAGTAACCGTAATCTTTGCTTGTATTGTTGATGTTATAAGAGCGACTAAAAGCATCACTTGATCACCGGCTGAAAGGAGTGAGCTCAGGACAACTGCCAAATGGCGATCTCAATTTTGGCTTTGGGTTACACCAGTTTTCCCCCTCATAAGACGTTGCCTAAACCCGTTACCGTGATCCAACGATTTTTCAGGGCGGTTCAGACTCTTTAAACTCACAGCCACTAGCGTGCTCTTGGACAACGCCTGGTACTTCAGTGACCTCCCTCGCAGGCCAACAACAACAGGCAGTCCCTCTCTCCCAGCCCTTACCTATCTCTAGACAGTAAGTATAGAGAACGTACAATCCGCATGGGATTCCTTTTCAAACAAGTATTTCACGACCTAAGAAAACAAATGAGAGTTCAGTTTGTTCCCCGTCCCAACTGAACCAATTCCGGTCTCGCAAATAACCAGAGATAGAACGTGACAATCTCCTGCACCACCGAGTTAGCTGTAACAGATACAAGGGAGGAACACAACAGGAAACACTTGCATTGACAACAGTCAGCAAATCTGTAATGTATGTGACTTTATTTAGGACTCCCTGAAAAAGAGGTCCTTAATCTCAATGGGACTTCCTGGTTAAATAAGTCAAAAAAAAAATCATATATATATATATATAGATAGATAATAGTATATATAGATAAGGGCTGTCCAAATTTATCGCGTTAATTCAATTTCACGTTAATTACCGTTTTTCATTAACGCTAAAAAAATAATAACCTCAAGTAACTGCCATTGAACGTGGTCCACTCTTGTTGGATGTACCCAAAAGTAGAAGTTGGGAGCAAGTCAAACAGACCTTATAGCAAGGGCTCGGGAAGACCTCGCGTCACAGAAAACTAGGGAACTCAAGAGCCAATTGCGGTCCAGGAACAAAATTCAAATGTAGTGACACGGTAAACCAAGAGGATGGGCGCCACACAGACGGATTAGGCTCAAAAAGTGAGATTTAACTACTTTGGATTAAAATGTCAAATATATAGGCCAGGACATGTAGGGAGCTCTATAGGAAACAGTTTAGGCAGTGTATAAGTAAAAAAAAGTTGATTTGGTGTTTTAGATTCTCTTTAAGTACATTTGGATGGAAAAAAAATGTGTCATTACATTTGAAAATCTCAGTTAACTTCAATGGAGGTGGATGTGAATAGGAATGTTAAAAATGCGATTGAATCGTGAGTTATCTTCACCCTTACTATGCGCTGAATCATCTAAAAAAAAATTAATCGTCTTGACAACCCTAATATATATATATCTAGTATATCTATATATATATCTATTAATATATATATAAATTATATTTTTATCCTTTGGCATACCACAAAGAGGGAGCCCCCGTACCAGTGATTTACCGCGTACCACACTTTGTAATCACTGAACTACGCAATACAGACAAGACAGACTGACATAATACAGTACAGACCAAAAGTTCTGGATGCTTTGATCATTCAATGATTGTAGATTCACTCTCACCTGTGGTAAGGGGCTTCGTTGACCTGCCTCCACAGTCACAACTGTGGAGGGCAATCCAGATGGTTTTGTGATGAGTTGGACCACAGGAAGTTGAAAAAGGGCCAAAAAATGCGTAAGCATCCTCAGGGATCTCCTTCAAGACTGTTGGAAGACCATTTCAATCACTACACTTCTTGAAGCTCAGCAAGAGAAATGGCCAAGAGTGTGCGAAGCATTAATCTGAGCAAAAGGTGCTACTCTTAGAAGAACTTAGAAATATAAGACATATTTTCATTGTTTCATACTTGTTTACTAATACAGACATAATTCCACATGAGTAATCGAGTGTTGATGCCTTCAGTGTGAATCTACAATTTTCATAGTGAAAATAATGAAAATATGCAAAATAAAAACAAATCTTTGAATGAGAAGGTGTGTCCAAACTTTTTTTTATACAGTTTTCAAATGGCTTTTCATTATTACTTCACACCGTTCAGAGGAAGAGGAGAACGTAATATGTTATAACACTGTCTAGAACATACCCAACCATTATCACAGCTACTACAAAGTCTTTAAGCATATAGCTTAAACATACTTGTAAAAAAAAACTTAAAATTTTGTATTTTTTATATTTTTTTTTTCATTTTTTAAGTGTGTGTATGTATTAACCTCTCTGTATTGCCATCGCGTCAAAAGTTTAATTTGCCAACACATGGATTAAACATTGTAGCCTAAATAAATTGTTGTGAGACACCGTCCTATTCCGAACAACACAACACAGACAACAAGCAGCTACCCCAGCTACAAATCATTTCACATTTAATTGAGAAGTAAATTATAAGGCTTTTTTAAATCTCTTATATTATTCTTTCTAAATAATTTTCCCAGGTACCAGATCGAGGTGCCAATTTCCCAGTGCCACACACACCAGCCAGAAAAGCATCACTTACTCTACCCCTCACAGACAAGGCCATCCCCCCAGCCTGTGCTCCCAAAGCTGGCAACCCAAAGGAGAACGCCCCAACCACACCCAGCATCCGCAGCAGCACAGCAACATGGACTTTAATGACTGGTCCCGGACCAGGCATGACAGGGTGAGCACTGAGATCCACAGGAAGCTCCAGCCGGGACATGTCACCAAAGTGAAGCAGACTGAAACACATGATGTGGTTATGTCGCTGGACTAGTAACAATGAATGGGAATGACTCAAGGAGTTACCAGTTGGATTTTTTTGTATTCTAAAGTCTAACAAGAAACCCAAATAAAGTGATCCTAATAAATAATAAAAACTAAAATATCCTAACTTGAAACCTACAAAAAGTTAATACATCCAAGTTGTTGTTTTCTCTTCTCTCTCTCAACAACACTTTACTATCCATGATAGTTTATCACATGTAAGTATTTCGGCCTCTTTCACACCTTTAAACTAGCTTTTTCAGTGAAAAAAGAGAGTACTCTCTAAGCCAATCACTCTCAGTATGTAACAGACCCCTTGATTTTCTATGATGAAGAACAGCATGTTGTGTTCTGATTTGTTCACAAAAATTTTACTTTAAACAAGAATGATTGTACCTATTAATAAAGGTTTGGGGGCAAAAGAAGAAATAAGACAACCACAATAAAATGTGCCTTTATGTTTTGTGTGGCAGAAAAGCAGAGGAAGCGCACATACAGCCAGAGTCCTCCTCCGCCCCGAAATAAAAAGAAAAAAAAAAAAAGCAAACAGCCTCCCCCTGTGGCATACCGCGCTGCAGAGCACGTACCAGTACATTGTCAGATGACACCGAGGAGATCAGCTTCGAAGTCAATGACGTCTTTGAACTGCTCAAAGAAGGTTAAGTAAAGGTTTTGACTACCAGGTTTGAAAATCCTTTCAATAAAGTGGTTCTCACCCCCTGCTCCTCGTAGCTTTACGTCACCACATTTCCTGTTCAAATCTTCCTCTAAATGGGCCGTAGCCTGGAGGACTAAAGGGGGCGTGAACGAGACTGGGCCGTTACATTGCTCTAGGGCGTGGAGGCTGACGTCATGTCACACCAACTCTGTGCCATGTTGCGCCGCAGAATCAAAATTCAAATGTCGTACAACAGGTCGCCAGCAGATGGCCCTCACTGACGTGTTTTAGGCAGAAGTCTAGACTATCTCGCTCAACAACAACAATAAATAAACTGAAAAGGAGAGGCAACACAATAAAAAAAAATAATAAATAGAAAGACCGAAAAGACGGAAAAAAGGCAAACACGACCAAAAAAAACTACACAAGACAAAAACAAAAAAGAACAAAAAACAAGAACACACGCCAAAAAGAGAAGAAACAACAAAGAAAGAAACACAAAAAAAAAACAACTAGACGGAAAAAAACAAAACCACGAAGGTAACATACACGATATAGAACAAGACCCAGAGGACGCCCACACTAAACCCATCAAATCTAGGAAACGCAAAGTAAGGTCAAAACGTACAAATAAACGAAACCAGTAAAAAAAATTACTCACAAAAGACCACAAAAACATAACCCAAGAAAAAACAAGACCATAAAAAAACAACACTCTAGGCACCCAAAAATAACTAACCACCCCCCCCTTCTCTCTCAGTTACAACCCTCCTACCCCAACCCCGCCACGCTTCACCCCCCACTGACCCCGCCCACCCCCTCAAGGAGGAGAGGAAAAGAGAGAGATAGTCATAACATTCTGCCTAACAACCGACTGTGATGCGCCATCTGCTGGCGACCTTTATATACTACCTTTGAATTTTGAATCTGGCGCCCAACACTGCACAGAAGTTGGACCTCTGACGACCCCCCCCCCCCCCCACCCCCCCCCCTGCCCCCCCCCCCTCAGCCGCCCCTCCCAGAGCAATGTAAACGGCCCATTCTCGTAACACGCCCCCTTTAGTCCTCCAGGCTACGCCCATTTTAGAGGAAGCATTTGACAGGAAATGTGAGTGACGTAAGCTCCGAGGAGCGGGGTGCGAACCACATAATGAAAATGATTTCAAACCATGTATCCAAACCTTACTTACCTTCTTGAGCAGTTCAAAGACGTCAATGACTCGAAGCAGATCTCATCGGTGTCCTTGACAATGTGCTGTACAGAGCACTGCAGCGCGGTGCCACAGGGGGAGGCGGGATTGGGGGCTGAGAAGTCCTCCTGGCTGATGCTGCCGCTTCCTCTGCTTTCTGCCACACACATTAAAGCACATATTCTATTGTGTTGTCTCATTCCTTCTTTGCCCCAAAAACCTTTATTAATAGGTCCAAATCATTTCATGTTTACAGTAACATTGTGAACAAATCAGAACACAACATGCTGTCTTCATCTAAAGACAAACCAATGCTGTCTTTTACATACTGAAGCTTGAATGGCTTAGAGGTAAACAAAAAAAACAACAACTCCCCCCCCCACCCCCCCCCCTTTTTTGCACTGAAAAAGCTAATTTAAAGGATGGAAAGAGGCCAAAAATACTTACATGTGAAAATCTCATCAATGAAGTAAAGAGTTTTGAGTAGAGAGAAACAATACTATGGAATTATTAAATTTTTGTGGTTTCAAAGTTAGATATTTAAGTTTTATTATTTATTAGGATCACTTTTATTTGGATTCTTTTCGACTTTTGAATACAAAAAATCCAACAGTAACTCCTTGAGTCATTCCCACTCATTGTTACTAGTCCATCGACATAACCACATCATGTGTCAAGTCTGCTTCACTTTGGGACAAGTCCCCGGCTTGTGCTCTGTGACTCAGTGCTCACCTGCATGCCCTGGTACCGGGACGTCATAAAGTCCATAGTTTCTCGTGGCTGCTGCTGATGCTGGTGTGGTTGGGCGTTCTCATTTGTGTGCCCAGCTTTGGGAGCACAGTGCTGGGGGGAATGGCCTTGTCTGTGAGGGGTAGAGTAAGTGATGCATTCTGGCTGAGTGTGAGTGCACTGGGAAACTTGGCACTTTTCGTTCTGGTAACTGGGAAAAATTATTTAGAAAAGAATATAGAAAAGAGATTTAAAAAAAAGAATATAATATTACTTCTCAAATAAAATGTGAAAATGATTTGTCAGCATGGATTGCTGCTTGTTGTCTGTGTTGGTGTTGTTCGGAATAGGTGACGGTTGTCTCACACACGGTATTTAGAGTAATGGGGGGGGGGGGGGGGGGGGGGGGGTGGGCTATGTTTAATCAATGTATGGTACAAATTTAACTTTTGAAGAAGATTGCATACAGAGATGTTTAACATACAAACACACACGAAAAATGAAAAAAAAAAATATAAAAAAAACAAACATTTTTAGAGTTTTTTTTACAAGTATGTTAAGCTATATGCATACCAGACTTGTAGTAGCGTGATAATGGTGGGTAGTTCTAGAGTGTTAACATATTACCGTTCTCCTCTTCCATCTGAGGTGAGAAGTAAATAATGAAAGCCATTTTGACAACAGTAAAAAAAGGGTTTGACACACCTTCTCATCTCAAAGATGTTTTTTATTTTCATATTTCATTATTGCACTATTAAAATTGTAATTCACACAGAAGGCATCAACACTATGAATAACTCATGTGGAATTATGTAGTACTTTAAGTAAAAAAGTATGAAACAACTGAAAATAAGTCTTATAATACGAAGTTCTTCAAAGTAGCACCTCTTTTCTCATTACTGCTTCGCACACTCTTGGCCATATCTCTTGATGAGCATTCAAGAGGTCGTGATTGAAAAAGGTCTTTCCACAGTCTTGAAGGAGATCCCTGAGAGCTTAGCATTTGTTGGCCCTTTCACCTTCACGCGTGGTCCAACTCCTCACAAAACCCATCTGGATGCCTCCCAGTCTGGTGACTGTGAGGCCTGGTCAACTAGCCCTTACTCAGGCTGAGAGTGAATCTACCAACTCATGAATGGACAAAGCATCAAACTTTTGAGTCTGTACTGTATCTGTCAGTCTGTCTGTCTGTATGTACGTAGTTCAGTGATTCTCACGTGTGTACGCGTAAATCACTGGTAACGACGGGGCCCCCTCTAGTGGTATGCCAAATGATAAAAATAAATATATATATATTATTAATATTATATATATATATAATATATAGAATATATTAGGGCTGTCAAACGATAAATTTTTTTAGTTGATTAATCGCATAGTAATGGTGATTAACTCACGATTACTCGCATTTTTAAACATCTATTTCAAATCCACTCCAATTGATGTTAAATGAGATTTTCAAATGTACATGACACATTTGTATTCATACCAATGTACATAAATAGTAACAAACACCAATCAACTTTTATTTTACTTATACACTGCCTAAATATGTTCCTATAGTGCTCCCGACATGTCCTGGCCATATATTTGACATTTTAATCCAATTTAGTTAAAATCTCACTTTTGAGCCTAAAACCGTCTGTTTGCCGACCTCTCTATGGTTTTCCGTGTCACTACATTTGAATTTGTTCTCCTGACTCTCCAGGCTCTTGATTCCCTAGTTTTCTGTGACTCAGGGCTTCCGACACTCTGCTATAATTCTGTTATGAACTTGATCACTACCTTCTACTTTTTGGGTACGAACCAACAAGAGTTGACACGTTCAATGGCATTAATGCGTAATTATTTTTTTACGCGTTAATGATAACGTAATTTAACGTGATTAACTCGATAATTTGGACAGCCCAATATATATATATATAAATTAAAAGTATATAATAATATATTATTATTTTTTTTTACTTAATTAACCAGGAAATGTCCCCCATAGATATTAAGGACCTCTTTTTCAAGGAGTCCTAAATAAAAGTCACATACAATTACAGATTACTGGACTGTTGGTCAAAGCCAGTGCTTATCCTGTTGTGTATCCTTTGCTTTCTGTTTACAGCTAACTCGGTGGTGCAGGAATTGTCACAGTTTCATCTCTGGTTTTGGAGACCGAGTGGTTTCATTGGACGGGGGAACAAACTTGAACTCTCATTTGTTTTCTAGGTCGTGAAATAACTAAGTTTAAAGCTCTCCCAACGGAGTTACCGACTCTATAACTTACTGTTAGAGATAGGAAGGGCGGGAGGAGGGTCTTCCTTGGTTGATGTTGGCTGTCGAGGGAGGTCATGAAGTACCAGGGGTTTGGTCCAGCAAGCTAGTGGCTCTGAGTTTATAGAGTCTGAACCGCCTGAAAAATCGTTGGATCACGGTAACGGTTTAGCAACGTCTTTATGCAGGGGAAACTTGGTTGTAACCAAAGCCAAAATTGAGTCTCCATTTGGCAGTTGTCCTGAGCTCCCACTCCTTTCTCCTGGTGATCAAGTGAATGGATTTATGTCCTATTATAACCTCAACATACAACTCAAAAATATACGGGTTACGGTTCTTGAAAAACATCTGAAACAAAACTATTTGATCTGATGCCGAAGCGCAGGAGAGGACACAGTTGTGTCATGACACTTTTTGGAATCAATTTTCAATGCATTTTTCATGTTCATTAAATCGTAGGCGCAATCATTGCGGTAGGGCGTTTCTTGCCCTTCATCCTCTTGCCCTATCACTAGCAGGTGGCGAGTCCAAAGCCCAAAATTTGGGCCCCCAAAAAAGGGGAATAAACACAGGCAAGAATGATCCTCACCACCCACCGGCTAACCACAACCGGGACAGCACGGTGAGAGCCTATGTCCCTGGCCGTATAGACGGCTAAGGTGCCCTGTAAGTGGATGGAGTCCATGTCCTTGCGTCTCTCCAAATTGAATTGTCTATAGATCTCCCAGTTGTTAGGGTCCTTAGACTCTCTGTATTTAGTCCAAGCTTGGTCTCGACATTTAAAAAGACTAATTCAGTCAGAGCTATTCCATGGAAGATGCCGTCCTTTTACGCGAACCGTTTTAAATGGGGCATGTTAATCAAATACTTTAAGGACTTCAGAAGGGTTCACCCCAAAGATAAAACCTTACAGTAATATCCCAAAATCATTTATGCTTCAAATCCTCCATCATTGTCCCCGTCCCGAAGAAGCCCAGGATCACAGGATTCAATGACTACAAACCTGTAGCACTTACGTCTGTTGTCATGAAGTCATTTGAACGCCTGGTCCTCTCCCATCTCAAGTCCCTCACCTCCCCCCTCCTGGACCCCCTGCAGTTCGCCTACAGAGCCAACAGATCTGTAGACGACGCCATCAACCTGGCCCTCCACCACATCCTACAGCACCTGGACTCCCCGGGGACCTACGCCGGGGTCCTGTTTGTGGACTTCAGCTCTGCCTTCAACACGATCCTGCCATCCCTGCTCCAGGACAAGCTCTCCCAGCTCAACGTGCCCGATTCCACCTGCAGGTGGATAACTGACTTCCTGACAGACAGGAAGCAGCGAGTGCGTCTGGGGAAGAATGTCTCGGACTCTCGGATTATAAATACAGGAGCCCCACAGGGCTGTGTTCTTTCTCCCCTGCTCTTCTCCCTGTACACCAACCACTGCACCTCCAGCCACGACTCCGTGAAGCTGATCAAGTTCGTGGATGACACCACCCTCATTGGACTCATCTCCAACAACGATGAGTCCGCATACAGGAGGGAGGTGGACCGGCTGGTATCCTGGTGCAGTGGAAACAACCTGGAGCTGAACGCCCAGAAGACAGTGGAGATGATTGTGGACTTCAGGAAGAGCACTGTCCCCCCGCCCCCACCCTCCGTGATGGACTCCCCCATCACCTCCGTGGAGTCCTTCCGTTTCCTGGGCACCACCATCACCCAGGACCTCAAGTGGGAGCCGACCATCAGCTCCCTCATCAAGAAGGCCTAGCAGAGGATGTACTTCCTGCGGCAGCTCAGGAAAGCCAAGCTTCCTGCACAGATGTTGGTGCAGTTCTACACGGCCATCATCGAGTCCATCCTCACCTCCTCCATCACCGTGTGGTTCGCTGGAGCCACAGTCAGGGACAAACAGAGACTACAGCGCATTGTGCGCTCTGCAGAGGAAGTGATCGGCCGCAGCCTTCCATCGCTGCAGGACCTGTACGTCGCCCGAGCTCGAGGCCGGGCTGGTCGTATCACAGCCGACCCCTCTCACCCTGCACATGGACTATTCCAACCACTCCCCTCAGGCAGGAGGCTGCGGTCCATTAGGACTAGAACCTCCCGCCACAAGAACAGTTTCTTCCCCTCTGCTGTTGGACTCTTGAACACTTCTTAACCTGTCCCCCCGCCCTTTATAAATTCACTTTACTGCCCATCATACGTCACTTTACTTCACTGTACTGCTGTCACCTTACATTGTGTGCACCATGTGCACTTGTATATTGTAATTAGTAACTGTAACTCTATTTTAAATTTCAATTCATTCCTTAGAAGTGTTTTTTATTCTTTATTTTTATTATCTCTTTCTGACTGTTGCACTGAGCCAAAGCAATTTCCAAGTCTGTGACTTCCTGTTACTTACGTGGCAATAAAAATGATTCTGACTCTGATTCTGATTCCATAAGAATGTAATAATCTCAGTGCAATTTAGACAAGTCCAATGGATTCGTGACAGTAGCTCAGCTGGTAGAGCATTGGCCTTTGAGCCTGAAGGTCGTGGGTTCAAGCCCACCCTAAGACTGACTTCACGCCTCCCACTGATGACTGCTGTCTTTGTGTCCTTGGGCAAGACACTTAACCCCACTTTGCCTGAAGCTCCCACTGAAAGATCTCAGCTCCTGTGGACTCACCACCTGCAGGAGGATCAGTGAGGGGCTGGTGCTAAGTGTACTGGGTGCAGCTCTGACTGCCACTCGTCTCTCCTGTCGTCTCTCCTTAATAGAACAACAAAAATAATACACTGCCACCACAGCACCAGCAGAGGGGGCCATGTTTATAAACGTTTATATTTGAGGTACTTATGTGTAATGTGGATGTGTTTTCTGCTGCTGGACACCTGAATTTCTAACTATCATCTAAACAGATGTCAAAAGCAGAGCATTGGTGGTGAACATGGGAGGCAAAAACAACATCAGATACAATTGCCAAGTGATTTGACACGGATGACAATTTTAGTCCCAACATATTTTGTCCATTTCAACTATCAGCCACACGGCGTCTATGTGTTTATTCCATGGGTGCTGTACTACCTTTATAGGGTATTGCTGCTTAAACCTGTCTCCAGCATGGACAATGGACCAGCCGCGGCACTGCAGCTAACTAAACTCACATGGGCTTTAAGGACATTTTATCTGTAGACATCAGTGTTAACTAAAAACGCTCTTCCTCATCTGACAAGTAGCAGCTTTTACAAAGATCTGATTTTGTGAGGAATTTTAGGGATTATAATGTCCCTTGATATACTGGACTTTGTATTTCTTTAATTTATTCATTATATATCCACTGACAGAATTTGACTTTTGCTAACAAGTGAGGACAGACCGGCGCGTATTTTGATTGTTGCTTGATA